AGATTCGAATCAACGAAATTGTTGAGCTTTGGATGGGACGATCGGCGATTTGTTATGTCGGATAAAAATTGCGATTGAAAATTGTTATGCTAAAATAATGTTTCTTTTTTTAATATCGTTTTACGAGGAATAAATTTTGAAGAAAAAATATCTGCTCGTTTTTTTTTTCATTTTGATAACTTGACTTTGTGGAACGGAATACGATATTATTTCGTATAAAAATAATTGGCGATATTAAATTTCGAAGAATCGTTCGGCCCCGAAAGATTTATGCGAAAACACAATAAATTTATTTTACTGCGAAAAATATCCTTCCACTACATTGTGATTTTTTTATATTCTCATTAAGTAATAACGCGTAATGGATGGAAATTTCACTATTAATTTTAACGAGCAATCGTAAAAAGGAAAGGCGATAAATCGTATTACCGTGAAAAATATCTGCTTGCATCCACGATGCGAACTTCCTCGATGCTTGCCAGACCGTTCACTTAAAATGATAATAATACGCCGATAAAAAGATGCCCGATAAAAATTCCAAAAATACCAACCCCAAGCGTACGATAAGATTTATATCGAGGTAAAATGCGGTAATAAATAACCACCATCCTCAAAAATATCGTCCTACATCCATCGACTTGGGCTCGGGCTTGGACTTGGCGGAGGAGCCCAGGTTAATACCACCACCGCTGCCTCGATTAAAAACAACAACAGAGTATGCGCCGCGTTATGAAGATGTGTTTAAAAACGTTATTACTTCCTACGAGAGATTACGAAGGGGAGGGCGGCCCCCGAAGAGGTCTCTTCCTTTCCACAATATCATTCGACAAAACAATAGAGAACAATGGAACATTCCATTCCAGACTTTACACGCCGAACCGTGTAATCAGATGAAGCACCGTACCGCAATAACTGCACGTTAACTCGTACTGATAATAGAAAAGAAAAAAACCCACGAATTAAATGCCTCGAGCTTCCTCGACCCACGTATTTCGCTCCACCACGTGGTGGCGAAAAAGAAAAATGGAAAAAAGAAAGAAAGAAGAGGAAATCTCTGCCACTTTGGCCGAACGAAAGATCCGGTATCGGATGTTTCCCTCCCTTTCCGAATCGTCCAGAAAAGCGATCGATCGTGAACTTGGCGCAAGAACTGGGGTCATCGAAGGTTCGGCCTTGACCTTATGGAAGAGTCACGTAACGACAGGCTGGCCGTCCTCCGCGAGGAGGAAGGAAGCGGCGACGACGACGACCTCGCCGAGGCAGACATCGAGGGGAGAAAGTGTAACCGATCCCAAGAGCTCGAAATCGAAAGTAATTTCCTCCATCTCCTCGCTCTTTCTCTCCTTTCTCCGCTTCCACGACCCGATCATTCTTTCTCCCAGACCGTAGGATTCAGGTCAAGTTCAACGGCTGCCTGTCCTCCACTTTCTCCACACCACGTTTTCCACGTAATCGCGACGATCGGTCCGCCACCTCTCGCAATTTCCTCGGCGAACCGTTCTTCCAGTTCTTCACGTTCGCCATCCAAATGAAATAAAATTCTTTATACCTTTTTTTTTCTCTCTTTTCTAATTCATTTCCCTCCAGCATAACCTTTTCTAACCTTTTTTTCTACGTTCTTCGAAAATACGCAGTTCGTACGTAATCCGTTTGTTTTTCGCGGATATAATCCCAGAAAGAGAAGTGTCTCCCACAATTGAAAAAAAAAAAAAGAAAAAAGAAAATCGAAGATAAATCTCCACCGCCAATTCTTATCGCATCCGTCTATCACCCGCATTTCCACCACTACCACTATCCGTTCCATCCACCGCCTTAACCAACACCGTCTAATCGCGTCTACGTTTATTACGTCAGAATGTGAATGGCACCGGCGGAAGCGCGACGAAGGCGGAGGCGCGACGAGCGTAAGAGGTAAAGAGCTGGTGTCCGCGGTTCGCTGAACCGAATTCCCCTCCCCCGTTCGACGACGACGACGAAGAAGGAACGCGAAGAGCAAGGTGAACCCAACTGGAAACCTCGTGTCTCGGGTGTCCCCCGTCGTGCCCCAACGAGGGGACCCAACGACTGCTTTACGGCG